TAGCTTTCCTACTAACTATGTGTATTTTCTAAAGTGGGATGTTACTTGAAGTTTTCTTAGGTAATTAGTTATAACATATTATTGAGGATTGTGATTATTTTTAAAATATCTTTGTTAAATTGTTATATGGCGATCACGTGACTATCTTTTCAAAAATGTTTTCGTCAAAGCGATTTCATTTAAAAAAGATATTGACAAATTTTTACAAAAATATTAAAATGATTTACGGTGAGTAAACTCTAGACTTCTTTTATTAATTTTTATTATCAATAGTCAAAATGATGAGTTATGCCAATTTCGAAGATCAGTTTGATTAAAAATCCTTTTCATTTTTTATATTACTCTCTTGAACATTAAATAACCATTTACTATAAATACCCATGTTAAACAAAAGAGTAATGCTATTATTACCACAATTTTATACCATATTTTTTTACCATCTTAGGTGACAGATGAGTTGGACAAACTACATCATTTAATTTCAATCTTTTTATTAATTAAAACACTTAAATAATCTTAGGTGGAATAATGAGACTTCTCGTATACTACAATCATCATTTAAAAATATTGAAATTAAATAATGTAGCTTGTCCAACTTATCTCCCACTTAGGATGATAAAGAAATGTAGTATAAAATTATGGTAAAAATAACATTACTCTAAACAAAATCGGATGAGAAAAAAGGTAGTTTATGGCGTTGTCTGATTGTCTTTTATGAGTGGAATATAACTTGCTACGTAGGCAATTAATGGAGTCGAAAATAGTTAGGTATTCGAGTGGTTTAAATTTTTAGTAATTTAATAGTTTAAGTAGTAATTTAAAAAGAAAAAAAAATTGAAAAGTTATGGACGTATTTTATAATTATCTTCCTTTTCTATTGGTAGAGTGAAACAGAAATAGTGGACAGGCCACAGCCCTCAACCAATGCCATATAAAAGGGAAATCTTAGACTTAGTTTTACTAAAACTCCGCATATTGTTTATACCCCATATATTTAGTACACTCGATATTTGTTTTTCCAATTAAATTTTACATTTTGTTTAGAAGAAACGATAATGATTTTATTCAGAACTATCAATAATGAATACAATCTTGTATGAGGACATCCGACAATAGATTTGGAGGTTCCTCAAACCAACAAAAGTTAAAATAAAAAAATTAAGGCTAACTTGGTCATACTATGTGCCACATTTCTACACCCACATTTCTGTAATACCCTCACAACCCTCTTTCTCAATATACACTCCACTTTTCTACATACTCACCACACTCTTCACACCTTCAAAGTACGAGTTTTTTTTTTCTTCTTCCCTTTCAAAGAATGAATATTTAGATTTGAAAATCCATCATTAACGGCCAAAATAAAAAATAAAAAAAATTGCAAATCCGTCACTTTGTAGCAAAAAAGATATAGAAATACATTAACTTCATGAATACTATTTTTGAGAATCCATCATTGTCCCCTTCCGAGTAGGGCTGATAGACAATTGAAATCAGAGCCCAGTGGAAAAAAAAAAGGAAAAGAAAAAACGAGTACGAAAAGAAATTTTGGCGTGGAAAGATGGAAGAATATTGGGGAGGAAAACCAAAAGGGAAGCCAATCCAATATGTTCATGGGACAGAGACTAAAAATCGAAAAAAATATGGTAGAAAAGCATAAACAATACCATGATAAAAATACCAACACATACCATAATAAAAAGGGAGTTTTAACGAAAAGTCCACAGTACTGTTTATTTTAATGAAAAACCACATTTTACACTAAAAAATCAATCATGGTACTATTCACTTCACCCTTTATTTTGTCCTTATCATTAAAACTCAAAGTTTTCAAGCCATTTTCATTAGTTTTCCTTAATAAAAATATGGATAGGGTTTATTAGATGTGTGATGCACGTACTTTTGAAAATTATGAACGATCAATAGAGATGAATAAATATTGTAAGAAGAAAGATTAATAAAACTGCTCAAAGTTAGGATAAGGACTTTTAAAATACAGATACATTGTTATGATGACGTATCATATTAATAGACTAAGGGTGTATTTGTTGTATCGGACTATTTCGGACTGGACTAGCTTCAGGGACTAAACTGGACTGACTTAGAATAGACTAAGTTGGACTGATTTAGTGAAGAGTTTGGTGCAATATCAGACTAAGAAGCAAGACTGCAATATTATATTATTTTATATTAATTTAATATATATCAAAATTTCCTTTTTGTTTTTTTTTTATCTAGAATCATCCTCTTCAAACTTCTCCAATCTATGTTACCTTCAATTTTTTACTCCGCCTCTCCATCCCCCTCTTCCTTTTTCCTCATTTTTGTCCCTCTGCCTGTCCCCCCTATTTACCTTTTCTCCCCATTTTTGCCCCACCTTTTTTTATTTTTTATTTTTTATTTTTTATTTTTGTAACAGTGTCTCCCTCCCCTCCCTTTTTTTTTTCTCTCGTTTCACCTCTATATATTGTCCCCTCTCCCATCGCTCTTTTTGTAATTATTTTTACTTTTTTTTTCTTCAGATTTGGTACCTGTATTTTCTAGGAAAATCACAATTGGTCAAGAAAAATCACTCAGAGTCATTGCACCCATGCTAAAGTTTTCAATCTTGCTGTCCGCAGAAGAATTTGGGTCACCATGAGACCTGTTTTTGCCATTGTTCAGGTCGATCCAGATGGCAAAAGACCCCAAATCACTGACCCAGATGCCAAAGGGGCACTGGGTTTACGGGACGATGGAGATCGGCAAAAGCCGTTTTTCGTTTGGTCACTAGAGAAGGGAGGGCTGATGCTACTCATGCAAGTTCGCGCGACGCTGCTTGCAGAAGAGGGCAGAAGAGGGAGACGGGGCTAGCAATCTCGTAGTTTTTTGGGGGCCTCACTAAGACCTCATAGTGAAACCTTTAGTGTAGGCGAGTCCGGGCTAGTCTCATTAAGACTAGTCCTGCATGATAACAAACACCAGACTAGACTAATAATTAGTCCAATCTAATTCAGTGACAATTAATAAGGGCAAACAAATATTTCCTAAAAGTGTAACGATATGTATAAAAATTTTCACATAAGAACGACATAATATTGATGTACCTGTCCCATTGCTCTTCAGACTTTACAACTGTTCCAAGTCTTCAAGACTTTGTTACATTTTCGGTGATGCCATGGACAACCAATTTAGAGTGTCCTTGAATAGAATCATCCTTGTTGTGCCGCTGGAATTAATTATACACATCATAACCTAATTTTCTAGTTTAGTGAAATTACATATATGCCTACTCTTTTGTCTGTTGATTACTAATAGTAATAGCGGCTTCAAATCTCCTGCAATGACTAATTTTTAATTCAACGATAAATTTACACTGAAGAGGTGGAAGATTTAGACTAAATCATATAATGAGTATACCACAATAATAATAGTATCAAACTGTTATCCACGAGATTCAAATTTTCTTTTTCTTTTATTGTTTTAAAAACATGTAAGCATTGTAGCCCTAACCTAATCCTATATTTACACTAAATGATGGATAGAATAAATTGGTTTTGAACTCGCTATGTACAAAATTCTAACATGAAACGTCTCACTCATAAATAAAAAAATAAAAAAAAAAGTTTTTTAGCCAAAATAATCTATCTGAGATTTGAAATCAATAGAAGAGATCATTGAGTTAGTCCACCATCAATCATTTAGGTCATAAGGACCAAAATAACAAAAATACATTCAATTTAATAAACAATGAGCCTAAATGATTTGACAATAATTGAGAGTATTTTTGTCATTTAATTTTATTTAATGGAGATTTTTCATCGAATGACCAAAATAATTGATTGTGGACAAACTCATGAATTATTTCTATCAATTTCAAATCTCAAAAATCAAAATAAAGAGTTATAACAATCTTAAAATCCGTTTTAACTAAAAACCTATGATGCCAACAGAGTAGCAGAGCTTTAGTACTTGGTAGCCCATAAAATTTAAACTTAATAGAATACCACAACCATTATTGTCTCTCATCTCAGCTGGGGTCGTGTACTCCGGTTTTTATATTTACCATTATGCAAATGTTTGAAAGTATTCTATTCTTCATTTACTTGATTGTTTTAGTGCTTGCATCTGCCTGTGAGACAATGTACATATCTACCTCTTGCGAATAATGTATATTTATGGTATAAATTTTATAATCGTTATCGTTCAACTTCTTATTCCGCATTTAAAGATCCATGTAAAAAAATAAAAAAAATCATCAACTTGAAGATCATTTATGCATTTAAGTGCCTGGAACAAATCGATTGTGCGAGTATAAGTAATATATTTATAAAGGACCATCGATTTATTTGATACATTAGTATACTAAATGATTTCTAACTCGAATTATTATTTTGCAGAGATGATCTTAATTAAAGTTTCATTTTATACTGTAAAAATACATTATTCGTAAAGGGTTGATATATATCCATTCCCCATGGAAGATGCAAGAATATCATCCTAAATTAGTGTAATCCAGGAAAATGTGGAAAATTTAAACAAAAAGAGTTTTGAGTCTCTAATGAACGGATTGTTGGGTGTTCCTTGATGTCAAATTTCAGCTTAAATTGAGTACGCACCAGGATAATAAGAGGCCCAAAGCACAATCCCTGCTGAAGTCTTGTTGGAGTTTGGAAATCAGGCCTAAGGAACAATGCCATTCTCTTTCGGCCAGGAAACACAGTCCTGATTAAAATAAACGATACATTCTAGTGATACTTTTTTTTTATTTTATGTCTGATTCATAGTGCGACATAACTTAAATTCTCAATTTGTATCATAAAAAAGGGATGATATGTGACTGTTCTATCACCAGGGACAACATAGTTAGGTTGTGCCAACTTTTTATACCAAGAAAACTCATGAAGGAACCTAACAACGGAATCAAAGGGGATCAAAAGCAAAAACATAAATTGGAATCCATGGTTTTTGGTTTGTCTCTGTGTGTGTGTGTGTGTATCACACTCTTCTCAAGTCAATCGTAAAAAAAATTTCGAGCATTCTCTAGGGAAATGTATCAGAGTTGTAACAATGAATCATTAATTGAAGTACAACTGTTGCAAAAGATAAACAGCACATAGAAAAGCAATGATAGTAACATTGTTCAACAGCGAGGAATCATTCCCTTGACCTGCACTGCATGGTATGCTGCTTCCACTGTAGCAACCTTTCTTTTGACGGATCCCTTCACCGCGATTTTCCAGCACAAATGTGGAGTTTGTCTTCCCACTGCTGAAGAGAACACACCAAAAAAATGGCCCCTTGTGAGCCCGAACCATGCCTACTCCCACCTCAGTATGTGATTTATTTCTCAGAATTGATAAAGCCTTGCTGTCTCGAACAAGAACATGTCCAAACGCCAGTGAGGGCTCAAGATACTTGGATTGACAACCCACAATGTGGGCAGTTATGGTGTCGAAAGTGGGTAGTTCCACACCACAATTGGGGGCAAAAACTTCGGTGAAGTCATCTTCAGACGGTTTGCAGTTCACAGTATTGTTGCTAGTGCAGTTTCCCTTGCATAACTCAGCATATTGCAGTGCAATGCACCCAAGTCCTGAACTGTCATTTAGTTTTGGAAGTTTGTGAGCAGTTCGATTGTTGTTGATAATGTCAACAAGATCACTTGCAGGGTTTCCTGAGGGACAAACCGCACTCAATGTCACAAATCAACAATGTAGCCATACAAAACAAGATGAACGATACACTTAACAAATATGTATTTCTATCTTATGTAATCATCGAAATTAAAATAGATAAAAAAATGTATACACTCAACAAAAATGTGAAGAATGGAATGTTAATGTTTTAACTCAATCCATATACATTAATCTTGATAGTTTGGGAATTAAATACCGGCAGGGACAAGGTCACCAATGATGCTACTCTTTCCTACTCTCACCAAGGAGTCCTGCAAGTTAATATTTCACTTCAACTTCCAACTTTTCAAATTGTAAAGCCAAAGACCAGCGTGATGCTAAGCGTCCTACTGTAAGAACCAACTTATGAAACATCATAAGGACCAACTCGTGTTCATCAAATGTAGAGACCGGAATTTCATGATTGGTATAACCATTCACTCGGGCTTCTCCCTAGTTCGGTTGGGATTCTGGTCGGTGGTCACTCTGCATTCTGTTAATAATCATAACAGGGGAAAGGAAACACTGAGAGTACCTTGACGAACAATGTTAAGATTGTGGCGGACGAAATGCTTTTGACATTTTTGAATGACGGATTACTATTTGAGAAGTGGAAAGTGAATAAATGCTAGGTCACAGAGATAAGAAATGCAATTTAATCCTCTAACTTCTAGAACAAAAAACTCTTTACTGATGAGTGGCTGCTGCGCATTTCTTATTTAGCACTGGACCTTCTAATTAACCCATCACCCGTGTACGAAGTGCACAAAGCAATCTAACCATTATTAGAATGTGAGTATCCAACTACTTTAAATTCCCGTTTTGGGAATCACACTCTAAACCCGTCCCCTCGCGTGTGTGGTTACTTAAGTCAAACACGGGGACAACACCCAGAAACAACACAAGCGAAAATTACCGATGGGAAATATCAGAAACGGAAGCTCCAATTGAGACAGAGAAAAATAGAAGAAACACAAGACAAATACAGTAAATATATTGCAATATGCTGCATCAATACTTGAGTTTGGAGAACAAGTTGTAATTTTGGAGGAAATGTATATGCATAGTTCCTTGCTGTAAAAACTAAAAGCTCAAACAAGTTATAATTTTAGAGGAAAGATAAAAAAAAGAATCTGCAAGTTGAGATTATATTGTACCATGGCTTTTGGAGCAAACAAGAGCTGCTAGTAGCAGATGATTGAAGATTATGAGCCACCCCCAGCAACAAAGCATCTGCTTCTTCACCATAATCTCACCTGTGAGAAAAAATGGGGGTTTTGCTTTACTCAGAAAGCTGAGTAGAAGGAAATAAACTAAGAAAAAAGAGAGAGAGAGAGAGAGAGGAAAGTAGAGAATAATATGAATAGGGTATTGATTACTTTTTCATGAAAAATACAGGAGAGATGTGTTTGGTTGGCGAGAAAATGCAGGAATAGGAGTGGGAAAGCAGAGGGATTTTCCAGGAGGAGAGAAAAAGGGAAAAACGTGTGGGGTGGAAAGTGCTTGACTACTGATGAAGCATTGCAGAGTTTACGGACAAAAAGACGACTGGTGGTGGACCCTTGTAGCCGTTGTGTGTTCTGTGCAGGGATTTCTTTTGCATAAGAAAACGCAGAGGATTTGAAAAATTGGAACTGGGTGGGGCCTAATTTTGGGGATTAGTGAAGGGGTGAGAGGGTTTTTGGGCCAAGTGATCACGTCATCCCTCGACCCAATTAGGTGACCACTCGGATCCGGCCCGACGTTATTCTGAGACTGACCTAACTCGGTGACCCTCGGGTTCATCTCGGTCACATTAGAGCAACTCCAGCGTTGGAGCCCTCCCCCCTGGCAATTCACTATTCAATCCACCTAATGAACAGTAATTGCCCTTAATGAACAGTAAGTAGCCCTGGCAATAGATTTTGCATCTCCACCGTTACACTTCTATAGCCCTGGCAATAGGCAATAAAATATTAGTTTTTTTTTTATTTATAAAATTAATACAAAATAATTTTAAATGTAATATCGGATAAGATTTTTAATCGTTGTCGGTGCGCCACGTGTCATTATCCTAAGTATTATTAAATAATACAAAATAAATAATTATAATATGGATTTCTGATAAGATTATTAACCAATCACGTCGCGCCACGTGTCATAATCGGTTCACAATCTTTGAGGATAGATTTCCATCAGATTTTAAACGAATGACGGCATGCCACGTGTCATAATCTGTTAACAATCTTGGATGATAGATTTCCATCAGATTTTTAACGAATGACGGCATGCCACGTGGCATTATGCAGAACCTAATCCTTTCTGAATCCTCTATATAATCCACCTTCCATCTTCACAAATCTCACACCAAAATTCTCAAAATCTCTATCATTATTCATAATTTCTGCTTCCTTATTCACAAAAATTAGTTTCAATATTCATAGTTTCTGTTTCTTTCTTTCAATGTCTTCTTCTTCTTCGTCAAGGATGATGTGGGAATTGAATCAGGAAGAGGAAGACTTGTTTAACCAATCAGAATCAATGTTCAATCAGCAGCGGGTAAGAAATGAGAGGGAAGAAGATGAGGAGCGTCAAATGAGAGATGACGACGTAAGAAGGGGCAGAGCCTCACATTCCCGTCGAGTCATCCAAGCTGCAGCTCAGATCTGCAGGCCCAGGCGTTCCGGAAACATTGATAGAAGCAGGCAACGACGAGGTATGGAACTCTTGGATGATTATTTTGTTCCTAATAGTGCATTCCCTGATACGTACTTTAGACGTCGTTTTAGAATGGAACGACATTTGTTCAACAAAATCATGATTGCTGTTTGCAACCATGATTCTTATTTTGTGCAAAAAAAAGATGCTTTTGGTGCTATGGGTCTACTGCCGGAGCAAAAAATTACTGCTGCCTTGCGGATGCTTGCATATGGAGCATCTGCAGACCAAGTGGATGAGATAACGAGGATGGGGCAATCAACCATTCTTGAGTCCCTGATGAGGTTTTGCGGAGCAATCGAATCTATCTATACCGCTGAGTACCTCCGCAAACCCACACACATGGACTTGGAGCGGCTGTTGAAGAAGGCGGAGATGCGTGGCTTTCCTGGGATGATTGGAAGCATTGATTGTATGCACTGGACGTGGAAAAACTGTCCAAGTGCATGGCAAGGTGCTTACGGGGACAGAAAAGGGGAAAAAAGTATCATTCTGGAGGCGGTGGCATCTTTTGATACATGGATTTGGCACGCCTTTTTCGGGGTCCCGGGAGCTCAAAATGACATCAACGTCCTTGCCCAATCCCCAGTGTTCAACGATGTCCTGCAAGGAAAGGCACCAAAAGTTACATATGAGGTCAACGGACGTATGTACGACGGGCCATACTACCTAGCTGACGGCATCTACCCGCGCTGGTCAACATTTGTCAAAACAGTGCCACGTCCGCGGAGTGCGAAGGAAAAACACTTTGCAAGCTGTCAAGAGGGGTGCAGGAAGGATGTGGAGCGTTGTTTTGGTATCCTCCAAGCTCGCTGGGCGATCGTCAGGGGTGCGGCCAGATTGTTTGATGTAGAGTCGCTTCGATCCATCATGATGACGTGCATCATTCTTCACAACATGATTGTGGAAGATGAGTACGATTATGAAGCTGTTGATGAATATGAGCCAGACCCGATGAACAATTCAAGAACACGTATATATTGTGCTCATGACGCCACCGATGACCCCGTGCAACATGAGCCATTACAAAGGGATGGACGTTACAATGAAAGGCTCATTCAACGATATACTGCATTTCAAATGCCAGACATGCACAATGCCCGACAAATTGACTTGATAGAGCACCAGTGGGCATTGAAACAAGCTGAGGATAATTAAGTTCATTTTAGTGTGTTTATGTTTATGTTAATTTATTTGGTATGTTTATGTTATTTTATTTGGTGTGTTTTATTATTTGGTATGTTTATGTAATTCTTAGTATATGTAATTCTTAGTATGTTTATGTAATTTTTTTATGTTTATGTTTATGTAATTCTTAGTATAAATAACTTACCAAATTAAATAACTTACCAAATTAATTCTTAATATAAATAACTTACCAATTAAATAACTTACCAAATTAATTCTTAATATAAATAACTTACCAAATTAATTCTTAATATAAATAACTTACCAAATTAATTTGAATAAATATTCATGAACATGGAAACAACATAAATAATAAATTACAACCCAAAGTGATTGGAAAATTATGGGCTCCGATTACAAAAAGTACTCTATTCATCATCACTTAACCAATTTGTGCTGCTAGGATGATCTTCTCTTGCGGTGCTAGAACCACCTTGGCTTGCTATTGTTTCTCTTGCACGCCTCCTTCGCACCACGTCCGCTTTCTCTGACTTCCAAAAAAATTTAGAATTTGGAGACTTCCCTTCTAAAGACATGTTCATAATCTCACGATCTTGTTGAGCTCGTCTTTCTTCTCTAACATGTTCCCTTTCTTGCCTAAGTAGCTCTCTCTCTCTCATTAGCATAAAATTCTCTCTCAACAGCTGCTGCTTTTGATGCCTTATCAGCCTTATCAGCCTCATCTTTCGCCAGTTCCCTCGCCAAAGTCAATTCACCTTGGCGAGTAAGTTCTTCCATGAACTTTGCATAATCGTTCTTGGAAGCACTCCCTTTTCTCTTTGTAGCCTTCTTACCTTGAGGCCTAATTGGAAAACGGGTCGAACCCGACGCTTGTTCAGGGAGGGGCGTTTCGGGCACTTCTTCTGCATCATCTTCATGAACATGATCGGGTGTAGAGTGTAGAGGGGTGCTGTTCATGTGCACTTCTGGACCAACTGGCACAACTCTAAATTTAGGACAATCTTTGACAATATTCCAACATTCCCACCGGTTGAATGATTTATTTTTGCCTTTGGTTTTGGCAGCATACCAAGCTTGTGCTTGAAGTTCCTACACAATAAAAATAAGTAACAAATAAATAATTATAATGAAAATAAATAACTAGCAAATATATACATATATATATATATATATATATATATATAAGTAACAAAGATAATGAAAATAAGTAACAAAGCAAATAAGAAGGCTTCAAGTTTAGTAAATAATGAAAATAATTAACAAATATATATATATATATATATACATTAATTTTAATGAAAATAAGTAACAAATAAATAATACAAACAACATAATTATAATGTAACAAATAAATGTAACAAATAAGTAACAATAACATAATTATAATGTAACAAACAACATAATTATAATGTAACAAATAAGTAACAATAAATAATAAATTTTGTACGTAACAAATAAAGAATACAAACAATAAATAATAATATCTTGTTACCATATCCGAGTAATTTTCCCCACTTCGAATATTATTACTAGCTTGTGCCAAAGCGTCTCTCCACGTACTAAACGATTGGCTAAGTAATTTCCAACGACTGGACATCGATTCTTTGGTTCTTTTCCCACCAATTTTCTCAAGATAATTGGTATGAATAAGACTCCACATTTCTCTTAACTGCATCTCATTACCCGTAAGCGAACTATGAGTAACTTCAACCCAGCTAGTACACAACGCAACATCTTCAATAAGCGACCAATTCGTACCTGCACCAGTGGTCATTTTGTTGAAAAAAAATTGATTCAAACTTTGAGACAAAGAAAGGAATGTGATTGAAAGTGGTTGAGAAAATATGAAATTGTTGTGAAGGTAGATGATAATGAGAAGGTATTTATAGAAAAGTAAAAACAATTTTTTTTACAATTTTTTTCAGATTTTTTTTTGAATTTTTTTGAATTTTTTACATTTTTTTTGAATTTTTATTCAATTAATTAATCTCTGCCGTTGGATATAAAAAAATTTGAATTCCAACGCTCCAGATTGTGCCACGTGTCACAACGGTAACTTTTCATATTTTTAAAACTATTTTTTCATTTATTTTTAATTTTTAAAGCATTTTAATATCCACCGTTGATCTCAGATCGAACGGTGGATATTAAATCTGACAGTTTGAAAATTTTTTACCGTTGAGATCTAACGGTCCACATTAAGTGACCGTTACGATCTAACGTACCGTGGGAAGCCACGTGGCTTCCCAACGGTAACAGACAAACATTTTTTTTTTCTGATTAATGTGTCAGGACGCGCCCCCACGCGCGGGTGGGGTGCACGCGCCTGACACAAAAAAAATAAAATAATAGGCTGACGCCACGCTGGCGTCAGCATGGCGTCACTCCCACCCCGGGCTCAAGGCCTGTCGATTCCTCACGGGCCTGGCCCTCGGGCCTTCCCCTTCCCCCCGGCTTCCCAACGCTGGAGCTGGTCCACCTTCACTCGGGCCTCCGTTTTGGAGCCCGTCCCCCGAGCTAAACCCCACGGTGGGGATGCTCTTATATAGACCGACTGCTGGCTGCCGAGCCCAAAGCGATAATGCTGAACCCCCAATGTCAAGATTCTCGAATCAATTTGGAGATTGTCGACCTGACACTATAACCTTTGAATTTGAATAACAACTTAGATGGATCGGATATTTAAACCAGTGTGGCGTCTTAATCTAATAAGACAATACCATGTGTTAATCTCACTCCACATGACATTGTGTTCTTGGACGAACGCCATTGTAACAGTATACTCAATCCATATAAACCCGCCTCCTCAACTTGACTTGGTGATTGTTGTCTTTGATCGGGTGTCGCTAGACCTGACTTGCTAATTTTTGGACACGGTTGATTGACCACAAGAGATGACTTGGTAACAGATAGATCTGACCCGAGAATAGCCAGGCCATACACTGTGACCATCAAACCCGACCGGGTTTGACGTGACTACCGAGGGCGACTATCGGGTCAAGGATCATCGGGTCGGGCCAATTTTGCATTACCAAAACAAACTTGACCTGCTTCTATTGCCAACAAAGCTTAATGGGCCCAGCCCATGAAATCATATTCGGGCTTTAGACAAAACATTATAGACCCAACCGAGCTCATTTTTGCCAGCACACACAACACAACATAAAACGTCGAGGAACCGAACCATCTAGAACTCTGCCGGTTCAACTACTCTCTCCTTATCTCACACACCACGAAGCACCAGGGTTTAAGATATCTGCCCCACTTCTTCCATCCCCAACATTTCTTCACTCTCTCTGCACCTCCACCGAAATCCCACCATCTATCTTCGAGCTCTGCCATGGCTTCCACTTTCGTTACACTACCAAGTCCTTTGCTGTACAAACCCAGCACCTCTTCTCTGTCCAACGGCCAGAAGCTACTCCCAGGTGTGTTGAATTTACCTCCTGTCCAAACCCTTTTCTTATTTTCTTGTATCTTTCCTAAATTTCTGTACTTTTTTAATTTTATTTATAAATTGTTGTTAATTTTGATAAATTGTGATGGGTTTTGCTCAGGTCTGCGAAGAAATTCTTTGAGAGTCAACGCAATCACCCAGAAATGGGAACCCGCCAAGGTTTGTGGGGTTCTGCGCAATTTGGGATTGCTTTTCTCTTTTATTTTGGTGATGCATTGGTGTTTTGATTTTTGTGGTTTGTGGGTTGCAGGTGGTTCCGCAAGCTGACAGAGTGCTTATTCGCCTGGAGGAACTCCCTCAGGTATGCTGGTTTTTGGTCTTACCAATTGTGTTTGAAAGTATGGAGTGGAAACTCGATGCGACTATCTTTTATTAGTCTGAATCCAAAGCATCTATGTCAATTGAGTACTTGGGCTTTGGGCTGTGACAGTTGTGAAGATCCGTAGCATTATCAAATGGCTTAATGTACTACTACCAGTCGCATTGCTATGACATTTTCCGAGCATTTCAAATTTTTGTTTCAAGTAAACAGTAATTTTCCCTTGAATATAAATGTCAATCTTTTGTGGTTCTTTCAATCTTTATGTGGTGAAAATCAACCTACAAAACCTAAAATTATATGATTATATTTGTATATCATCTCTACGATATCCTCCCATTATCATATTGTTGTGATATCATACCATGATGCATTCAATAACAAATTATGTTATACATTCTAGATATATTCGACTGTGTGCTATCATAGTGTGGAGTATGTTAACCTTGTATATGCAGAAATCTGTCAAGTTAAGCCATTGTATGTGGGCCTGTGAAATGGGGATAGTGTTATCGGAGTAATCTTGATAGTGGAATGGTACCTGGCCATTGATTTTGTCATTGAGAATCAAGTGGAGAGAGCATTATAGTTTTTGAATGATTTTTCATGGCTTGAAGACATATATATAGTATAGTTCTTTACAGTTAGGTGGTCTTTCTTAATTTATTAGTCAATCTTTGTTGGACTTTAATCAAGGCATGGTAGGAAAGTATTCTGACATTACCATTTGTCTCAGATTGTATTAGGTGGATTGGGTATAATCTTTCATTTGTGTGACTCCTGGATTTTCGTGTTCCAAGTTGTTTGATAACTGGTGTTGAACTTGACGTAGGATCTTCAGATTGAGTAGGAGTAAAGCTTGATCAGAGTTGAAAAACTAGTTTGAAACTTGAATTAGGGGCATTGGATTTAGGTATAGTACTTCGCACTCTTAACTTTGGTATATAATGGATGGTTGTAGGGTTTAGGTATGGTCGTCCATCTGCTTGTACTTTGAGCGTATGAATAAAAATCTTTCTCAGTTGGGGATTGAGTTCAACTACATGTCTTGAACTTGATCCATGATTTGAGCTTGAGCTTTAATGGTGTGAGAAGTCATCCCATCTTATTGGCTTGACTCAAGTAACGCTTCATTAACACTGGTGGCAATTTGAGTTATATTCCCCTTATGTGTCTGTGTGGGTCTTTCTTTTGAAGGTGGGCACTCATCTTACCCAAGGTTGGCTTGAACATGTGGCACATGATTCAAATGCTGTAATGATTGTTGTGTCATGCTTCCTTATGCTGTCAAAGAGATAAAATTACCCTATATACCCTCACAGAATAGTAATGGTTTTAGTGAGACTTATAGTGTTGCATGCATCTCACACTTTCTTTTTCATTATTGGGCAAATGGCCCAAAAGTATATCTATCGCCATATTAATTGCTTAGAACAAGAAGTTCCAAAGGATTTCACTAGTTATTTCAATTTGTCTAACCATAGCACCAAGTAGCCTACTTTGCACCATGTCCTTGTAAACTAGACCCTTCACAAATCTTGATTCATGATTTTTTACGAGAGCTATGTTAAGTTCTAATAGCTATAATGGTTGATTACAATGAAATGTATTCAAAATGAAAACGGTTTTTATTCCCTCATTTTTTTTTGAACTTTTTGGTTTGCATTTGGGATGCTCGTCTTATGAAATGCCTCAAGAGATTTCATGTTAATTGCTGGCTGTTAGTTGATTTGAAAGCAGTGGGTTTAAAATTGACTTCATTGTTTTTCTTTTTCCTTGTTATATCAAATGGAGAAGTATATGTGTAGTTGCCTACATAATATCTTATCTGTTTTGAGACATTATCTTATGATAAACTGCTCTGTGTCTCAGAAATCAGCTGGAGGAGTTTTGCTGCCCAAGTCGGCTGTTAAATTTGAACGCTATCTTATGGGAGAAGTATGCCTACTTTTTCTTTTTGCATGGTTCTAGTTCTTTATTTTGAAGTAAGACTCAGGATAATTTAACAAGCATTGTTATTCTCAGATTCTCTCTGTTGGTGCTGACGTTGGGGAAGTGAAGGCCGGAAAAAAGGTGAGTAATTAAGAAGTTCCCAAATAATGACAACTTTTTTCTGGTGTGAATTAATGTTGATTTTTAAAATTAAACAATTTTCTGATCAACTGAAGTTATCCGTTTTAAAACTTTAAACTTTTATTTCCAAGTATTGAGATAGGTGCTTAGTATCTCATCTTAATGGAAATGCTTATCATTTTGCAGGTTCTTTTTTCAGACATAAATGCATATGAGGTGAGTAGAATTAGTTCATTTTGAAAATATCATACAGTCCTGATGTAAAGAGTCTGAATAAATATTCAGGAATGGACTTCCCTGTATTCTATACATGTCGCCGGGCCACCTTTCTTTCTTCTTTAGTTTTCTGAATAAGTTAAATTGTCTTTAGTTTCTTGTTGCAATAGAAATTAGAACACCATTTCAATTCTGAGGGTTTATCTTGTGACGGGTCTAGAACATGCACAATTTTAGTGTAGAACATTGCTGACACAAAATAGCTACACTTTGCTGTGTTGATGCTTAATAACGGCCGACTGTAAAACATGGTACAGAATAGAGACATAATATAACTGTAAGTCTATGTTGCGGAAATGTTCTGCTGGTGGTGCATGTACTGGCTGCATATTGATGCTTGCACGATGAATTGACATTTCGTCTAATTTTTGTCTCAGGTGGATTTGGGAACAGATGGCAGGCACTGCTTCTGCAAAGAGAGTGAATTGTTGGCTGTAGTCGAATAGAGTTTCAGCTACGCGGGTAGGGACAATGGTTTACAGAATTGTTTCTTTAAACTTTTCGTTGTCAGGTTGGTTTTCCTTGTAGTGTCTCTAACTTCCAAAACTATATATTCAGTTGGAATTTGTTAACACCACACTGTTTATGCATTTAATTGTTTGAATTTTGTATTATTTAACCCCCATTGTGAAATGCAAGCTATGATAATCTAAAGTAATGATGGAAAACTCGAAGCATAGGGCAAATGTAAAAATGGCGGGTAAGGAAGCTGGAAAAATTTCCCGAAAATCCCAAATCTAACCGAAAAATTCCGGATCCCAAACCAAAAAAGTCCTAAACTAAAATTCCCAAAATTTTTGGGATGACATACCAAACCAATCTCAAAATTTTGGTACGGGAATTGGTATTGTTTCCTTAATGTTTTGGTAATTTCATACCAAACCAAAAATAAATATTATATATATGTATATATTATTATACATTTGAATTGTTGCTAAATACTACTAGCAATATAATTGGTGTAGCCTACAAGTAGTAACCATAGCCTTTTGCTCCATTTGTTCAACGTTGTCATCCAACTTTTGAATTTTTAGGATTTTAACTCTGCCATTTGATCTATAGGTAGTAACCATAGCCTTTTATCGCGACATTTGCTGGCACGAACCTCCCACACGCACTAACCTTGCACTGTTGCTTCTCAACCAAATGTGTCTAGTTCTTTAACACGAAATCAAAAAATTGTATTCTTAGTTTTTGAACATATTAGGTTTGTATCTTATTTTTTTTGCTTTGGGTTTGTTACTTATTTTATTTTGGTTGCATGTTAATTTAACTTGGTATGAATGATTGGTATTTCAATTTGTATGAAATCTGAAAATACCTAACCATCCCAAAATACAGAAAATATTTTGGGAATCCCGAAAATTTTCAATTTGGGATGGGATCTCATTTTTGGTTTGAGATCTGATGACAAACCACCCTAAAGGAACGCTATGTGCCAGAGGAGTTGTTTTTTTTTTTTTTTTTGGTTGTTGGTTTATCAACATATTACACAAGTTCAGCCATCCAAATATTTCAAAAACTGCCTAATTTGAGAAAACTGAAAATGAAACTTTGAACGAAAGTGAACACCCTAGAACTTGTTGAGAGTGCCCAAGTGTGAATTCCCCGTTGGAGAGATTAGTAGGAAGTATACCAAACGGGTTAGGAAGTTTGGTTAACTTGGGAGAGCTTTCGGCTCTGTTGCAAACCGACTTGCATTTGCCAGAAAGCAAATTACAACATTTAAAGAGGGGAGGATAGAGTTAACCGTCAAATGGGTAATCTCTCTTATTTTGAGCTTCTTGGAGTCACGTTTGCCATCGTCCCTTGGTACCTTTGTGCTGTAAGAAAGAGAAAGAAAGGTGCACACTTCAAGTGATTCAGAAGAATTTCTCAGGCTATCTTACCAAAGTAATAAATTCTCCGTTGCCAACTTGATTGGTATGGCAGGTTTTGGGGTCTGTTTATAAAGGAGTACTTGAACAAGGTGAAATTTCATTTGCCGTCAAGGTAATTAATCTCGTTCGTCGGGGGATTCTGTGAGTTTCATTGTTGAGTGCGAGGCTTTGAGAAATATCATACAACGTAATCTTATGAAGGTACTCTGTATATTTGGGATTTGAATATCGTGGTTGTGAGTTGAAGCCCTAGTATATGAGTTCATGGTTAATGGGAGCTTAGAGGAATGGTTGTATCCAACTGAAATAATTGGTGAAAACATGGAAAGACCAAGTATCTTGAATTTTTCTAAAACGTTGAGTATTCCAATTGATGTTGCTTTGGCATTGGATTATCTGGATCATCATTGTGAGACGTTAGCATTGTACCTATAAAACAAATAAACACTTTTGATTAAAGACCAAAGCCAAGCACGCTCACGAGGTGGGGTTTGCCTTGATATGTATGGACATTTGATTGGCCAAGGCACTTTATCCATTGTATGGATGAGGAAAGAATTTCCCAAAGATATTATTTAATTAATAGTATCTTGGGATTATCTTATAATGGCCTTAATTGGATGTGATTGTGATTTCTTACTCGATAGAGTTGGTCATCAATTAGGAAGGTGTAAAGATAAAATTTAGTAATTAATCTTATATTTAATACATTTGACTTGTCTCTTCACCATGAGCATGAGAGCTTGATGAGTTGTAGTCAGCTGCTCTGACCTTCAAGGATGTTGAACTCCACGTGGATTAAATGTTGGCCTCACCAATTTAATAAAGACATTCTCGTTTTTCGCTGGTAAAACTCATGTTAAGATAGGTTCCAAGGAGCTATTTCGGGACTTCCTTGAGATGTACAAGCACGCAATCTCATCCGGAGTCCACGTGAAGCATGTGAGGGAAGGAAGAAGCCACGAGCCGTCTGTCGAGGCTGCTAATGTGGGATAGACAACCATCAAGTTCCATCCGTATTACTTTGTTATGGGATTCACCTTCCCCATGTTGTGCTTTTTTCAAGAGGTGATATTCTCTATGAGGTGTGCTCCTTGAATGCAATCCGTATGATGGTGGAATTCTCGAACTTGAGCAACTTCTTTGATTTAAGATTGACCATAAACAAGTTCATATACTTCTTCAAGATTGACTACAAGGATGGCATGGGGCAGCTAAGGTCTCGCCATAAGCTTTTTGATTCCTCTAGTAAAGGTAATCAAGATTGGGCCAAGGACACTTTGGAGGTCAGTGGGAGTCCGACTCTTCGACTGAGTAGCGCGTACGGACTACCTTCATTGATGGTAAGTGAATTGCTCCATTCTTGGTGTGCTTGGAATTTTTGTGATCTGCCCTTGACTTCAAGCTACTGAATGTCTTCTTTCCTTTATGTGGATTTGAAATATGGCTTATCTCCAAAGAACATGCCAGACAGGAAGAAAATACATGTTAAATCCGATTCTGCGAACGACGAAGGAGTGAACCTGTGAGAACAAAGACCAAGAAAGATTGTGAAACCAAACGCCTAGGAGGATGGTTCCGTAGGTACTCTGACCATCAAATCAGAAAGTGAGAGAGATAATGGGAATAGATGTCAAGTGTATTGAGAGAGTTTAGAGTGCCTAATCCTTTTTTAGGAGTCGTGATACCTATTTGTAGATAATGAGGAATCGTTCTGAGTGCTCTGCCAATACGTTGTAAGAGTAATTGGACTCAATAGCATGGCTCTGTCCACTTAGACGTCTCCGCTGCACGGTTCAGAGCAGTCTTACCCTTGCGCAGCATGGATCAGCGCTGCTTGCCATCTGCACGGCATGGCCAGTCATGTCATCCATACCAGTCACTCTGCCAGTCTGCCGTGTAACATAGATCATGCAGTTTGGATGAGACAAGATTGATTGGCATCTGAGTGGAAGTTGTTGAGCATGGCGTGGGGTGACTACGATCGCCACTCCGGCTGGAGTGCCTAAGAGGAGATGGACACACATATCGACATCAACCTCCACAGCGTTAACAGCGGGGCTGGGTTCGCACAGCGCCATGCCGTTTCTGATGAAGATAACGCAGTGGCCCAGCCGTCGACTCGACGGTGGCCGCCTGGGTATCGTGGTTCCAAGCAGTTGTATATCTACCATCTCTGTTGTTGGGTCATTCTAACTCGAACCGAAGGCAGAGCGACAATCACTGTTGATCAATCGCGATGAGAAAATCACAACAAAAAACACTAATTTACAACAATTTACATTAAGTCTAATAAGTTATAATAATTTCTCAAAAAAATTATTAGATGACATTATTTAATAAATTCAAACAAAACTACAAAAAAAATTCTAAAAATTATAATATTCTTAAAAATTAAATAATTCCTAAAAGTCCTACAAATTTCTAATATTCTGAAAAGTTTTTAAGGGTCTGTTTGGTATCCTATTTGAAATTTTTATCATTTCTTAAAATATTTCTTAAGAACATTTCTTGAAAACAATTTTCTTTAAGACTAAAAAACATGATTGGTTTGTGATTTTAAATTTTTAAACCTTACGACTTAAACTAGATAAAGAGATCTAAAAAGAAGAGGTAGCAGGAGGGAGAAAGAGGAGAGAAGAAAAAGAAAGTAAGAGATGATTGAAGGAAAGTGAAAGAAGAGAGAGGATGGGAGGAGATACGAAAAATGTACAAAAAAAAAAAAAAAGAGAAAAGGAAGAAAAGAGAGAGAGAGATAGATTTGGAGTGAGAAGGGAGGATGGTCTATAAATGAGTGAGTTTAAATTTAAAAATCTAAAAACTCACTTTTAATGTTTTTAGAGGGTTAGTATTGAGTTCAGTTTTTGAAAATAGTCTTACTAAACGAGTTTTTAAGGTCTAAAACTTGAAAATTATTTTTGAATTTAAAAAGTTGAATTCAAGTAGAGTACCAAACAAGTCCTAATATTTCCTAAAAATTTCTAATGTTTCTTATTACTTTAGTCTAAAGTAGGGGGAACAGCACTGCAATTTTGCCTTAATTTCATTTTATTTATGAGTTTGCCATTGGGTTGATTTTAGTCCAAGTTTTGCTTTATTTACAAGATTGCCATTGGCTCTTTTTGCCCCTGCTTTTGTTAGATTTCACATTATTTACAAAATTGCCACCACCTTTTCATTCTTCGTTCGGTAAGGTATCGTTTGGTATGCAGACGGGACGGGACGGAACGGGATGGGACGGGACAAGACGGAACGGAACGGAGCGGGAGTAAAGATGCCCTAGGATGGAAACAAGGAGGAAGAAGAAGGAGACGGAGAGGTTATAATTTTTGTGTTCCACGGATGTGGAACGAGTCGTTCCAGGGGGTGAGGTGGAAAGAAAATTCACCCAAAACTCGTCCCGTGGAACAGCTCGTTCCACCCGTTTTAGGCACACTAAACGTAGGACGGAACGTCTTATCCCACTCTGTTCCATCCCGTCCCACGTACCAAACGGTACCTGAGGGTTTCAGGGATGAAAGGCCATGCCGTTCCGTCTATCTCTACTTTTGATCAACGAGTGTGTGAGCTGTGTTTCAGCCAAAACGGATTTTTCATCTCTTCCATACTCAAACCCTAGCCTCTCCACCTCTCTCTCTCTCTCTCTCTCTCTCTCACACACACAAGCAAAATCCATCTGAAAGCCGAAGAGTCCAAGGGTAAATCCCTTCGAACTCTTTGATTATGAACATCCATTGTCTTCTCCTCATCTTCTTTTTCTGTTGCTTTTTCGACCAGTAGGAATGCTTCAGGTGGTGCTGCTACTGCTATCGCTATGACATTTGAGCGCTTAGCAGGTTGGGGAGGAAGACGACGACAAATCCGCTCTGAGTCAGCTTGGCCTTCTCCGCAACACTAGCTATACTTCTTCCATAACTTCTGCTACTTCTTTTGCTGCTAATGGGCGGGGGTTATCCACCTGGGTTTCTTGCAAAAGAGCTTCATTTGCCAGCGCTGCAGAGATTCTGGCCTCATCTCCTCCAAAATTTGGCAGTACCCGATGTGGGTCTGGTCTTTTTCTTAGAGGTTTCAGCGTGGAAGCTTCTTCTGCTGATCAAATGAGTCTCATGAAGCAGCTGAGGGAGCGAACCAATGCGCCGATCAAAGACGTTAAGGCTGCTATTATTGATAGCAATTGGGACATTGGTTAGAACCCTTTTCTCCTATTGTTCTAAAAATCCCAGCCTAACACCGCCCCGATTAATACCTAGGTGTTTGAAAATTAAGAAATGGTGCCTAAACCTGTTAAGGTGCTCGCCTAGCCCTCCCAAATCTGTCTAGGTTGCGACTCACTTAGACAGAAAATAGATAACTTTCATTTTGCATTTTATTTTTTCAATAAATTGTAAGAGACTTGTTGGATACTTAAAAGAATACACATTATATGCATGTTCCTCATGTTTTCATTATGTTCTAATACTTCATAATATACATGTCATTCTATTTTGTAGTTTATAATGAAATTATGTAAACATATATATATATATATATATATATATATATTTTTTTTTTTTTTTTTTAAGTTCTAAAAATCCTCGCCTAGCGCTGCTTAGGCACTAGGCGGCTGATCACCGCCTCGATTAATGCCTAGGCATTTGAAAATTAAGAAAGGTCCTATAGACCTACTAAGACGCCCGCCTAGGCACCCGCCCAGACCCGCCTAGGCAACTCACTTACGTAGAAAATAGATAACTTTCATAGATAACTTTCATTTTGCATTTTATGTTTTTTCAATAAATTGTAAGAGACTTGTCGAATACTTAAATGAGCACACATTATATGCTTGTTCCCCATGTTTTCATTATGTTCCAATACTTCATAATATATGTGTCATCCTATTTTGTAGTTTATGATGAAATTATATATATTTTAGGGTAAAGTACAAAAAACTACCTCAACTATTGGGGTCACGACAGTTTCATACCTCATCTTTTAAAATTGACAATGTTATACCGCAGCTTACGAATTTGTGACAATGTCATACATCCGTCAATTTTTCTGTTAAGTGCTGACGTGGCAAGAGACAGGGGCCACTCACTAATCCAACTGAATTAAAAAATAATTAAATATATTTTTAATAATTAAATATTAAAAAAATTAAGAATAAAAAAGCAAAACAAAAAAATTTCCTAGGGTTGCAGGGACCTTTCCCCTCTCCTTCTTCTTCTCCTTCTTCTTCTCTTTGGGTTTCTTTTTTTTTTTTTTTTCTCCTGGGTTGCCAGTTTCTATTTTTTTTTTTCTCCTCCCTGTCCGTCTTCTTCTTCTTCTTCTTCTTCTTCTCTTCTTCTTCTTCGTTCTTCCTAGGTGGGTGGGGTTGGGTTTTCAATTTTTTTTTCCTCCTCTTCTTCCTCCTTCTTCTTCTTCTACTTCAGTTCTTCCTCCTTCCTCCTTCTTCTTCTTCTTCTTCGGTTCTTCCTCCTTCTCTTGGGGGGCGGGTGGGGTTGGGCTTTCAAATTTATTTATTTATTTATTTTTTTGTGTTAAAGATTAAGCAGAAGAAGATGAAGATGGGGAAGAGAGAGAGGGGGAGGGAAGGGACGACTAAGGGTTTTTTTTTTTAACTTTTATTTATTATTTTAATATTGAAAAAATATTAATTTTTTTTTTAGTTTTTAATAATTTTTTAATAGAAAGTGGTCCCAATCTTTTGCCACGTCAGCACTTAACAGAAAAACTAACAGAAAAATTGATGGAGGTATGACATTGTCACAAATTCGTAAGATGCGGTATGACATTGTCAATTTTAAAAGATGAGGTATGAAACTGTTGTGACCCCAATAACTGAGGTAGTTTTTTGTACTTTACCCTATATTGTAAGTATAAACATACACTTATTTACATAATTTGTATCTCTGAAATTTGAGTTCTTTGACTCAAATATCCTTAGGCGGACACCAAAATTTTGATCCCAACATCCAATTTAATTAATTCAACTTTGGTACGTGAGTTAAGAGTTTTTCTATGATTGTATTACTGTGTTTGATAAATGAATGATGAATTGGAAATAGTTTCTTACTTATGTTTTTATTAGGTGTGTACTAAATTGGATGTTGGTTTGGTTATTTCCGAACATTTCACATGACTTTCATTACCTAATTCAGAATATGAAAACCCTAACCTTAATTTTGTAAATTGATTTTGGTACCTGCAAATGAGAAAAGGGTAAAGTTTCGCATCCCATTAGTGTTTGATCCTGAAATTAATTTATTTGTGAGTCCTGGATCTCTGTACATTTTGGGTTAATTTCAACGACTTTCTCTTTTCAAATACCTTTTTTAATTTTCTATTTTTGTCTTTGAGCTTCTGCTTTTTGGGCATTTTGGGTTGTATTTTCTGTTTCCCAGTCGACTGGAAATATAGAGGGGGGAGAGAGAGAGAGAGAAATTGCTCTTCAATAACTATGCTTATATATTTCTTAGGGTCTGGTATTTGATTAATTAGAAATGACAGCTTTACTTGATTGATGTTTTTTATTTATTTATTTATTTATTATTTTTTATTTATCAATTTAAGGTACTATGAATTGGGAACCAACAATCCACCATATGCTGCCAAGTTCTACGACTTTTGTGGGGCTGAGGATCCTGAGGCATCCATCTGCACTACCAGTTTCCATGTTTCTATGATGACGATTGATCCATGTAATATCTCTCTTTTAAGATTCATCATTTCATTCAGTCTTGCTCTTGCACTCTAACCAAGGTTCTGTATCTCCAATAATCTCATCTCTTTTATAGAAACATGAAGTTGATGCGTAATTGGGTTTTTTTTTTCTTGAGGTCTGTGTTTATTTTCATTACTGTATTGATGTTTTCTGCCGTTGTTTATACAATTCTAAGAGGAGAGAGATTTATGGCATGAGGGTAAAAAAAACAAGGGAAGGAGGGAAAGATGAGGAAGGCACGGGTTGGCCTGAGTTTTATTTAATTGGTTTGGGATTTTGTTTATGTTTGGGATTCTTTTCCCTAATTAATATTTTTTTTGAATTCATATAGAATTTTGTTTATGTTTGGGGTTGTCATGTTCGAGTATTTAATTTGGTATTTAGTAGTTTACGTTACAGTTGTTGGTTTTCCAAGCGATAATGCTTTTTCTGATATATGTGCAAATGTTAACACTTTGTAGATTTTCAGTTTTTAAACAATAAGATAATGTAACCGTTTAGACTCCAGAGTGCTTTGTCATTAAGGTAAATGATTTTCGTTTTTTGCTTTGTGCCTTTTCTGATTCATGTTTTAACACGTATTGAATAATTTCCAAATTAACGATTGGTTCTTGCAGTTGCGTGAAGGGACGGACTATTCAAGTTTCGCAAGTTAATTTAAGGGTCTTAATCACTATATAAGGTTTCCATTTCTAATCCTTATTCCTTCCGCCTTTCCCCTTATTAAGAAAATTTTACTAATTGTAATTGTAAAATGTTATTAAGGTGAGAAAGGGATCATCGACCTGAAATGAGCTTTTTATGTAGCAATTTATCCACTCATTCACCTCAAATTCTTTTTCTTCATAGATTGTTTTGGTACCTGCTCTCTCATTTTTTTCATAGGCACAACTCTTTAATTCTTCTGTCTGTTTTCAGCTTTGAATTTTGGATGACAAGCTCTGTGCTTATACATCGATTTCTCTGCTTCTTCTTTGTAAATCTTGCAGGTCAGGACGACACACCTATTGGGGCAATGTCGGGATGTTTAGGCTTGGGTGGAGATGTGGACTTATAGAAGAGGTGAAGTAGCTTAGCTCTCTGTCATTAACTTTATCTGTTCTATGCATCTCTACAATCTTACAATGCTCTTTTATTAAAGTGCAAGATGTTGGGACCGGTTACTGGAATATGAGATTTGGAACAAAAGTGGTGCAAGAGTCGAAACCAAGTGTGAAATTCACATTGAAAATGACTGGTCAAAATGCTAATCATATTCTGAAAAATGTTGGGTTTCCTGATGAGTACTCTGGCTGAATTCAAGAGGCTAATTTAGTGATTTGCAGTTAATTTTGTAAATTTATTGAATGAAGTCATTTGTTATTTAGCTTATCTTGTGTTTAGTTTGGTTTTAGGAGAGGGTTGCGCATGATCTGTAGAATCATAATTAAGGGTCAGTTTTTCCAACAATTTTTCTTTTTCTTTTTGCTGCATGTTTGTGCATGTTTGGTCTCTGAGATTTTGTTTTTAGTCACTGTTGATTTGTAGTTTATGTCTCCCTTTGGCTACATATTGACACAAGTTTATTCTTGGCATTTTTTTGTTAGGGTAAGTGGTTTGGCCAGTTCTGTATTATCATTTTTACTTAGTGTTGATGTATAAGGTGAACTCTCTTTGCATCAACTTGAACAAACATTCTTCTACTTAATTGCCTAGCTGCTGAAACAAGAACGAAACACTTTTTATGTTTTTTTGTTTAACTGCTAAAACAGGTGGCTGACCTGTAGGACATATATTTTGCCATCTTAACTTCAAGGGCAATATATGTGTAAAATGCATGTTGCTTTTGTTTCTCAGGGAAACAAAGAAAGCATTTTTTGCAACCATATCTTTTGTAATCAGCTCGGTTGAATGTATGTAAAAGCCAAACTGCTTATCTTACCGACACCGTTGACTCATCTATCCCTTTTGTTTGTTCATGATTATGTTGAATTTTTTTCCAGGTTAAAATGTGTTTTATTAAGACTGGTGCATTCAAGTCCTGCAGGAACGCATGGACATTTTTTCTAGTATTTCCCAAAAATTCCCCCCCCCCCCCCCCCCCCCCCCCCCAATCCTTCAACCCTAGCCCCCAAATCATGATAATTTCCTAATGACCAGTCAAGCCTTATCTTAACTTCTAAAACCTAATGGCATTTCCAGCCTCATCCCTGATGCCATTTCAATCTCCCAAACTCCTTAGTTATACCAAGCGGACCTGTGGAGGGGTCGTCCTTGGATTCAATTTGCATTCTCCTTATCTTGATTACCTACCACACCTTGCACCCTCCTTATCTTGATATAGTTGACCCACTTGGTGTTTACTTATTCCATTCTATAATCCGGTGCTGGGTGTATTTTTTTTTGTTTTGTTTTGTTTTTTGAGATCTCTCACTTACAAGTGAAAAAGGAATATCACTAGACCGTAGTAAGTGGTCAATCTGATGCTAAGTTAGTTGCAAAATAGTAACGAAGTGTACAATGAGTTAGTGAATAACAAGTGTCTCAGTGGTTACTTAATGAAAGAACTGTACAATATATGAGTTTCCAAATTATGTTCCAAAAATTTTGAGATTATCCTGGTCCAAAATTTTTGAAATGAAAATTAAAAACTTATTTCCAATCCGATTCATGCAAAAAAAAAAACCCGCAAAATGTTAAACAAAACCGACCCCAATACTGTGGCATCATTAACTAGGACGGTAATTGCGTGTTTTGGGGGATGAATATGCCTCAACGTATTGATATTATGCGGCAGGTTGCTTATAAATTAGATGTATTCTCCGCAGAGCTGCTGTAAGCACATAACAAGAAGCAACCACCATGGGGATGAACAAGTTCTTTTCAGTTTTGCTTTTCTCATATTTTTGCTTTCATGTCCTTATTTTTCACTCATGCCTTGCCTTGAGACTGAGTGGAAATGAGACGGATCGATTGGCCTTGCTTGAAATCAAAGCGAGGATAACCTATGACCCTGTTGAAGCCTTGACTTCATGGAACGAAACCAACCATTTTTGCAATTGGCGTGGTGTCACATGTGGTCGTCGTCACAAGAGGGTCACGGTGTTGAACCTGCAGTCCTTCAATCTTTCAGGCTCTCTGTCACCACATGTTGGGAATTTGAGTTTTTTGAGAGTACTTTCTCTCACCAACAATAACTTGAGCCACAAAATTCCTCCAGAAATCGGCCGTCTCTCAAGATTGCAAGATATGGTTTGGGAGAATAATTCCCTTACCGGTGAAATTCCCTCAAACTTATCGCGTTGCTCTCAACTAACCAGAATTGCTTTTGGTGGGAATTTTCTGGTAGGAAGACTTCCTGAGGAGGTTGGCACTTTGTCGAAGTTGAGAATAATTTCAATACTCTTCAACAAACTTACAGGAAGTATCCCCTACTCCTTTGCCAATTTATCATCTCTTGAGTTGCTTATGGCACCTGGTAATGATTTTTATGGGAGTATTCCAGATATCTTTGGTCAAATGGCCAATTTTAAAGTTCTTGGTTTGGGTGGTAATAGGTTCTCAGATGTGATCCCTCCCTCACTCTATAATCTCTCTTCCATTAGTATCATTGATGTTACAGTCAACAGAATCCAAGGCACTTTACCTCCAAACCTAGGTATTGTCTTTCCAAGTCTAGAATATTTAGGGGTCGGCCACAACAAATTTACTGGACCTCTTCCTATTTCGTTATCTAATGCCTCAACTCTAACTTATCTTTGGATGGAAGGAAACAAATTTCAGGGGAAAGTTCCTTCTTTGAAAAGTTTAGTTAATCTTGAGTCCTTGAATATTGCTTACAACAATCTTGGAAGGGGGGAAATCGATGACTTGAGCTTTGTTTGCGATCTGACTAATGCTACCCGTTTACAACAACTGATGTTCGATACAAACAATTTTGGGGGCAATTTAACTCAATGCATGGCCAACTTGTCTTCTTCTCTTGTATTCTTGCATGTAGAACACAATAAAATATCAGGAAGCATCCCCCATGGGATTGGAAATCTGGCTAAGCTAGAGAGCATTTGGTTTGCCCAGAACCAATTTTCAGAAAGCATCCCCACTGATGTGGGAAAGCTTCGGAAGTTGTACGAATTAGATTTGGGTTTTAACAATCTCTCCGGCTATATCCCATCGTCATTTGGGAATTTAAGTGAACTATCCATATTGAGTTTAGCCGGTAACAAACTTGACGGCAATATTCCCTCAAGTCTAGGTAAGTGCCGGAAATTGATTGCCTTGACTCTTGCTAATAACAACCTCAGCGGTATCATATCCCCTCAAGTCATTGGTCTGTCATCTTCCTATGTGGAATTGGATTTCTCTAAAAATCAGTTGACTGGTTTCCTTCCCAAAGAAGTAGGAAATTTGATAAATCTGGAGAATTTTCGTGTTTCTCAAAACATGCTGTCTGGGGAAATTCCAACAAGTCTGGGTAGTTGCATAAAAATTGAATCTCTAGACCTGCAAGGAAACTTCTTTCAAGGGACGATTCCATCATCTCTGAGTTCACTAAGAGGAATCAAAGAATTATATCTTTCTCGCAACAACTTGTCAGGCTCGATTCCAGAATTCTTAGAGCGTCTTCAAGTTTTGCAATCTTTGAATCTATCTTATAACAACTTTGAGGGCATGGTACCAATGAAGGGGGTTTTCAGGAATGCAACTGCCACATCGATTGAAGGAAATAGCAAGCTTTGTGGGGGAATTCCTGGATTCCATTTGCCCAAGTGCAAACTCCAACATTCCAACAAGGGAGGATTAAGCCCAAAAATGAAATTGATAATTTCTCTGGTTTGTGGGATTCTTGGGGTTACTTTTGCACTAGTCTTTTTGTACCTCCGTCGGCCACAGAGGGCAAAAATAGAGCGGACTTCAAGTGATTCAGAAAAGTTTCTCTCAGTCTCTTACCAAAGTCTTCTCAAAGCTACTGATGGATTTTCCTCTGTCAACTTGATTGGTATGGGCAGTTTTGGGTCTGTCTATAAAGGAGTACTTGAGCAAGGTGAAACAATTGCTGTCAAAGTACTCAACCTTGCTCGTCTGGGAGCTTACAAAAGTTTTATTGCTGAGTGCGAGGCTTTAAGAAATATTAGACACCGTAATCTTGTCAAGGTACTCTCGGCATGTTCTGGTTTTGATTATCGCGGTCACGACTTCAAGGCCTTAATTTATGAGTTCATGGTTAACGGGAGCTTGGAGGAATGGTTGCATCCAACTCATACAATTGGTGAGACAAGTCAGAGGCCAAGGAGCTTAACAAATTCTCAGAGGTTGAATATTGTTATTGATGTTTCTATGGCACTGGATTATCTCCATCATCATTGTGAGACGCCAATAGTTCATTGCGACCTCAAACCCAGCAATATTCTTCTCAATGAGGACATGGTTGCACATGTAGGTGACTTCGGGTTGGTGAGGTTCCTCCCAAAAGCTGCTGAAAATTCTTCGGGAAATCAATCAAGTTCTTTAGGGATCAAGGGAACTATTGGTTATGCTCCTCCAGGTAAATACACAGTTGTCTATTTTTTCCTAGCTAGTATTTTAAGATTGTGCAGTATTTATTTTAAAATTTTCAAATATGAAATGGGCTTTTAGCACTTCACTAGAAAATTAGAATATAATGTTCTGAATTGTGGAATGCAGAATATGGCATGGGACATGAAGTGTGGACACAAGGTGATGTGTACAGCTTTGGTGTCCTCCTGTTGGAAATATTTACAGGAAAGCGACCAACCGATAGCATGTTTGAGGGAGCTTCAAACCTTCATAACTTTGTGAAGGCAGCTCTGTCGGAGAAAGCGGAAGAGGTTTTGGATCCTGTTCTTGTTCAAGAGAGGGATTGTCATGACGAGGATAGCAAAAGGAATCACGTCCAAATTGAAAAAAGTTTAATGTCAGTTTTAGAAATTGGTGTTGCTTGCTCAACAGAGTTGCCTAGAGAAAGATTGGACATCAGTGATGCTATGGCACAAATGTGTCGGATCAGAAACAAACTTCGAGCAAGTGGTATATGTGAATAGAAGCTTATTGTTAGTACGTGGTATAGCATGTAATATTAATATATTTTATGTGAGAGAGTTCTCGTATTTGTTAAATAAAAATACAGTACATATGGCTAGTTGATCAATGCTTGCCAAACAAACTTATTTGCATACGAATTATGCTTGATCGTTGAAATTCTAGCTTTACCAAACATTAAGTGACAAGTGGAGATGGGATCAATTTGCAGGTCTATGATAGAGCATTCATGTAAAGATGTTTTGTGTATATTCACCCCAAAACAATTTAAGTGACAAGTGGAGCGTATGTCTGGTAAAGTTAAGGGTTAAAGTTAAGTTGATGATGTAAGACTTAATTACATTTTTGTAACGTCAATTTTCGGCTATATTGCTCAAACATGTTATATTTTAGAGAATGTGCTAGTTTGTGAAGAAGGATTCAAAACTACAGTGTTTTTGTACTCTATGGCCTCGTTTGGCACACCGTATAAGACCATCGGATAGTATTAATAATACAAAACGGGTGTTTAGTGAGCTTCGTATTAAATAAGCACCGAATTATTTAATCCGGCCCCACTTATTTTATACCCCTCCCACCCGCTTACGAATCCCGTCCAAAACCTCTGTATTATTTAGTCAGGTGAGATTTCTCTTGCTCACTC